CCATGGGCGTCTCGGCGACGGCCGCGCGAGGCCAGGACGACGCAAGCAATGTCATCTCGGTGCATGGCTTCATGTTCAAGCAAGGCAAGCGCGCGATGATCAAGGGCCCACTCCACAAGAGCTGGCGGAAGCGGTACTTTGCGCTTGAGAAGACCAAGATGTACTACTTCCAGAACGACCTCGAGTGTCGCCAGTACTTTACGACGCGCAACCCTGACCTCGTCGTCGGCGTCGTCGAGCTCAAGGATGCGCTTCAGCTGCGCCCGTCTGGGCGCCTCGACTTGCCCACAAAGGGCTTTGAAGTGCACACGAAGCGCCGGCTCTGGGTGCTCTGCCCCGAGACCGACGACGAGTACCACATGTGGTTTGAGGCTGTTGAGAACGCCATCGTGGCCTCCGGCGTGGGCAACGTCATTGAGCGCAACCTCCCAAACGTGCGCAAGTACGTCATGAAGGGCCTCACCACGTACCGCCTCTTGTATGTGCTCTTTCTTCTGGCGGGTCTTGTGGAGCTCGCAGCGCTCGTGCTGTGGTTCGTCGTCGGTCTCCAGCCGTGCGACCAAGCGCGACCTACCGACTCATGCAGCTTGATTCTGTCGCAAACCATGGACGTGCTCCACTGTCAATCGGCGCCATTCAACGGCGTCTTTGCGCCACCGCAGTTTTGGCTCGACTTTGCTGGCGTCGGCAGCGTCGCTTGCTTTGCGTCGCCGAGCATTGGCCAATGGATCTCGTACTTTTGTCTCATTCTCGCTGAATGCATTAGCTTTGTGCTCGGTGGGATCTACTACCTCGGCATGTGGAAGCCCGTGCGCCGTGGTGCGCACTACCTCGACGATTTTGAGCCCAAGCTCCCGGACGAGCAGTGGCCCAAGGTCGACATCTTCATCTGCCATTACTCGGAGCCGGCCGATGAAACCATTGATACGCTCGCCGCGTGCATGAACCTTCAGTACCCGCCGCATTTGCTTCAAATTTTCATCCTCGACGACGGCTACTGCAAGGCCAAGTGGACGGCCAACGACCCCGTGCCTACCATCGAGCTCAACAAGAGCGTGATTGAAAAAGCTGGTGACTTGCGCCAAGAGGTTGCGCAGTTCATGTATGATCGCGTCTGCGACCCGAACGAAGACATGGAAGTCTACGCCTGGCGCAAGCTGCACTCGTCGGCCAACCTTCCGACGCCGTCCCGGCCCCGTGTTGTCAACCGCGCCGACTGCGCCGTCGGGTCGTTCCGCGACGACTACCGGTACAGCGGTCTCCCGCACGTCACGTTCATTGGCCGCGTCAAGCCGCCGACGCACTACTCGAAGGCCGGCAACATCAACAATGCGTGCTACAACGAAGGCGCGTCCGGCCGCTACTGCATCATCCTCGACAACGACATGCAGCCGCACCCCAAGTTCATTCTGGCGACATTGCCCTTCTTTTTCGACTCGGAAGATCAGCAAGGAAAGCACAAGTACATGTGCTGCACGCCGGGCTGCAACCTTGTCGCGCGCATGTGCTGCGCGTCGTGCAAGATTGCGGGTGTCCCGGACGAGCAGATGAGCTACTGCTCCAAGGCGTGTTTTGAAAAGGCCATGCACACGGCGTCGGCGCTGCACCGTCGTCAGGTCAATGGCACTGTCAGCGCGACAAGCTCGTCGTCCCAGGATCTGCGCTGCGTCACGTGCGGCGGCACCGTGCACAAAAAGACTGGTCTCTGCAAGAAGTGTGCCACACACCATACGATCAGCATCGACGACGGCCTCGTCACCAACGGCTGCTACTCGGACGCAGTCGGCAGCAACCACGTTGCGTTTGTCCAGACGCCGCAGTACTTTCGCGATTGCGTTCAGTTTCAGATTGGCGATCCGCTTGGCCACCGCAATGCGACCTTCTACGATGCGATTCAGACCGGCCAAGACGGGTACGAGTGTGCGTCCTTTGCGGGCACGAACGCCATCTTCCGTCGCGAAGCGCTCGACTCGATCGGCGGTATTCAATATGGGTCGCTCACGGAAGACTGCTACACGGGTATGCAGCTGTGTGGCCTCGGCTGGAAGGGTCTGTACTTTCGCAAGGACTTTGAAGGCGAGCCCTCGGAGCGCATTCGTCTGGCAGAAGGTCTTGTGCCCGACAACGTCGCGTCGTCGCTCGCGCAGCGCAAGCGCTGGGCCAAGGGCAACTTCCAGATCATGCTCATGAACAAGAAGAAAAACTACTTTGACGCGCAGTGGGAGCGACCAAGCTGCGCGCTGCCGCCCAAGCCCACCAAGCACGGCTTCATGCGCAAGGTGTTTTACATCAACTCGACGATTTACCCGATTGGGTCGATCTGCGCCGTCCTCTTCTACTACATCACGCTCTACTTTCTCTTCACGGGCTACGCGCCGATCTACCTCGGCGGCCTCCGCCTCCTCTACGGTCTCGTGCCCAAGCTCGTCATCCAAGGCCTGCTCTCGGCGCTGAGCAACCGAACGGTTGAGAACAACGACGTGGTCCGGTCCCAAGAAGCGTGGTTTGCCTACGCGTTCACGCACACGTCGGCGGTCTTTGAGACGTTTTGGTGGAAGCTGACGGGAAAAGAGCCGACGTGGTTTGTCACGGGCAGCTCGTCGCGCGGGTCGATCACCGAGGTTCCCAACGTCCTAGTCTTTTTCGCGCACGTGCTCGGCTGCGTCTGGGCCATTATCCGCTTCTTCGTGACATACAACTCGCTCCAGACGTCCCACGGCGCGTCGCTCCTCGTTGCGAGTCTCATGATGGGGCTCTTCATTGCCGCCAAGCTCGGCCCGAGCGTCCGCATGTCGATCCAAGAGTATTTTGGGTGGAGCTACCACAGCCTCACGGACAAGGGCAACTTTATCGGTCAGTCAATGATTGCGTTTGGCCTCATCTTTATCACGCTCTGGGTTTACATTGAGAAACCATCGGCCAACCCGTTCTAAGCCCACACTCTTCTCCCACTTTGCCTTTCCACATTGCACTTTGTTAACCTCGAAAATCTACTTTTTTTAGTTCTCCCTTCGTCTTTTCTATCTGGTGGGATCATATCTTATTTGCGCCAGGTACGAATCTTGTGCGCCTTGAGCTTGCGCGTGCCCTTGAAGCGCGGATGCTGCGGGCGCTTCGCCACGGGTTTCGTCTGCGTCGGCTCGTCGCTCGGCGCCTTGTACTTGGGCAGTTTGATCGAGCCGTCTTTGGCCATATCGGCAATGGGCTGGCGACGCCCCTTGGCGTCAGCGAGCAACCGCGCCGCCGCCGCGTCGTGCTTGGTGATGAGCGACGTGACAATCCCGCGCTTCCCGGCTCGACCCGTGCGGCTACATGTATATTATAAGTATACAGTGCAATGCACAGGTTGTCGTCGTACCCGGCGCGGTGGAGGTAGTCGACCGACGATTTCGGAAAATCAAAATTAATGACGTGGTCGACGGCCGATAGGTCGAGGCCGCGCGCCGCCAAGTCGGTGCACACGAGGATCGAAGCGTCGGCCTGGAACGCCTCAAAGTTCTTCTTGCGCACGACTGGCGGGATGTCGCCGTGGAGCGACGTCGACTTATACCCGTGCTCGTGCAGCATGTGCTCGGTGGACCGGCAGCTCGCCGTCGAATTGCAAAACACAATCGTCTTGCCGTCCTGGAGGTACGAGAGCGACTCACGGAGCGCCGCATGCTTGCCATCCGAGCCCTACACCACGCCAAGATATCAATATCGGAGGATGCATTCGGACCACGATGGAGTACCGGGACGCGGATGAACTCTTCCGTGATCGCGGTCGGCGTCTGGTGCACGGTGGCGCCCGAGACCTAAACGAGCGTTGTAGCGTTTTGGTAGAAATATAATCAGGTAATACCCATTTGAGATCCTTGAAGCCGCTCGAGAAGACTTCGTCCATCGGCGGTTTGACGGTGGCGGCGGCGAGGAGGTATTGGACCTTGCGCGCCTTGGCGGCCGCACTCGCCTCAATGGGCTTGAGGATCTCGTCCATGATACCACGGAACCCCATCTTCTTGTCCAAGAGCGTATCTGCTTCGTCGATAATGACGTATTCGACACGCGAGACAAAGACGTGGCCGGTCTTGAGAAACATGGCGAGCCGACCGGGCGTCGCAACGAGGACGTCGACCGGCCGGGCGAGCGCCGTCTTTTGCGGCTTGTGGGCGCTGCCACCGGTGATCACGCAAGACGAGAACTTGGCGTAGTGCGCAAGGTCGCGCGCGACGGCGCCGACTTGAAGACCGAGTTCGCGGCTGGGCACGAGCACAATGGCCTTTGGGCGACTCACCTCGCGCGTGAGCGGCACGTCACTCTTCTTGGCGGCCGCACGCTCGGACCGACGCAGCTTTTCAATGACAGGAAGGAGGTACGCCAGTGTCTTGCCACTGCCCGTGGCGTCCGTGCAGATCACATTGGCGCCGTCGAGCGCGGCCTTGATCGTCTTGGCCTGGATATCGGTGGGCGACGCAATGGACTTGGCGTCGAGCGCATCGACAAGCTCACGGCTGAGACCAAGCGACTGGAACGACGACGTGTGGCGAAGCAGCGCGAGTGGCCGGCGCAGCGGCGACGATAGGATTCGGCGAGCGAGCATGATCTTGGCCCGAATTCGCTCAAATGCATTGGCCAGCGCCCTTTCGGTTCGGTCCAACCGGTTAAGCTCGGCTCCATCAGCCGACCAACCGTGCCGTGCATCATGTCATGCCCACAAATATATCACAAATATGGTCCGGAATCAAAATAAATAGTGCTGATACATACTAATTACTGGATATTATAAAACAAATTTAAAGCACATCCCACCCGCGTCGTCGATTTGGCCGCTCGTCGCCAACGTACCAAACACGCTCCTAACGTCGCTCTCTTCCCGCCTCGCGCTGCCATCACGAGCGCAATAGCTTGCAACTAACGTTTTAGGTAGCGCTAGAGCACCCTCCATGCGCTAGTGCGCTTGGTTTGCGAGTTTGACAATATAACTCAGTATATGAATGAAAAATAAGCAGAGACATGAAAATGCCATCTTGCCCGAGTGGTCTAAGGGGGCAGACTTAAGATCTGCTAGACGAACGTCTGCGTGGGTTCAAACCCCACAGATGGCAAACGTTTTGCTTTTTGCTGAAAAATAACCGTTTGGTTGTCAAATTTTCACAAGTTGGCGCGCAATGTCCACATGGCGTCGCCGTTCTTCTGTATAGGTCGAGCGCAGCTCGCATGGCGGCAGTGCAATACTTGCAACACGCGCTTTCGACTTACCGAGCAACATGCGCTACCTGCGCCTCCTCCTTCTCGTGCTCCTCGCCGTCGTGCACGTCTCGAGTGTTGGCCTTCAAGCGACCAACGCGCCATCACCCACGGTTGTCAATGTCTCGGACTCGGTTTTGATTCTGCTCAAGTATGGCGTGCGCGCCGTCGGTCTCAAGACCGTGTCGGCCGGCAGCCCCTCCTTGAGCCCAACGCCAACGTCGATCACGCCGCCACCCATCGTCGTTTCCAACACGGCCAGCAGTCTTCTCGCGTCCTCGGGCATCGCCGCCATCGCGGTGCTTCCGTCGCTCGCCGCCGGCGCCAGCATTGGCCTGGGTATCGCGGTGGTGTTCTATGGCTACAAGCTCTTTCGCCCGACGCTCTTTATGAGCGGCTTTGCGTTCGGCGGGATGGTGGCCTACATGACCGCCGAGCGTGTTGTGCGCGTCGATGCCACGTACTACACGGCCGTGTGTTGGATCTGCTTTGCTATCCTCGGGCTCGTCTGCGGCTTTCTCAGTATCTACGTCCTCGGGCTCGGGGTCTTCTTCAGCGGCGCGATCGGCGGCCTCGTGCTCGCGTTCCTCTTGGCCACGTCGTTTGGCTACAAGTGGTGGCCCGCATACCCCGAAGGCATCCTCTTCATCTTTGGCGCGGTGCTGAGCCTCCTCTTTGGCGCGCTTGCCTACTCGATGGAAAAGCCGATTCTGGTCGTCTCGATGGCGCTCACGGGCGCCGGTGCTACCGTTTGGGGCATCGGGTACTTTGTCGGCGGCTACGCCAACGCCGATGACCTCCACGTGTACCGGCGCGTCGACAACGTCGGCGTCTATCAGTACGATATTCCGACGAGCTATTGGGGCTACTTTGCCGCTACGATCGTGCTCTTCATTCTCGGGACGTACGTGCAGTTTATGAACACAGCGTGCTGCGAGAACAATGATTTGTACACGTGGAACGAGCACGCCGACGTGCAGCTGGAAGAGCGCCGCATGTACCGCGAGCGCGTCGGGTACCCGCGTTATCGCAACGGCGGCGACTGGGGCGGCGGCGTCCGGACCCGCGACAACTACTACCACGCCCACGGCCATCGCTAAGAGAAACGTCGCTTTTGTACTATAACAACAATACGAACTTTGCCATACGAATGCTCGATCGAATGCAGTACGAGGTCCGCTTCTCGGGCGTGCTAAGCAGGCACCGCAGCTGAGGGCCGTGACCCAGATATAATACCGGCAGGATGCATGATGCGTGAGTAGCAGCTGGGCTAGTGCAGCGCTCGGCAGAGGTGAAGAGGAACCTCCAGAAGATCAACCAAGCGTCGGACGTCGTCGAGTCTGCGCTCGCAACGTTTTTAGTTGCGAGCTTTACAGTCAGCCACGACCGTTCACGTACTGGTGCTTGTGATGCGAGGATTTTGTGTCTACCAAGCCCGTACCAAGTTATCATTCCCTTGCCACCTACTCACGACGACGGGACAGCCCCTTCCTCCGCGTTCGACGCGTTTGCGTCGCTGCCGAATGATTTACACGGCTTGCTTGGCGTGATCCAGTAGCAGTATACTTCTAGTCGGTCACCGAGGTGCTCGCAGACCGCCAAGCTGTGGCTCAACTTCCAGGCGCCAAATCTTCCACTGATTATCCGGAAATATCCGCATAGCGTTGAGTTTGAACTTGAGAGCGTTTTGCAGCGGGAGAACACAAGACCAGCAGCATCCTCGCATGGACGACGACGACTGGGACGATGCTGCGTGGGCCGAAGCCGCGCTCGCGGTCGAGCGCGTCGAGCAGACGCACGTCGCCGCTGCTCCTTTTCCTGCGGTCCCAGCTCCCGATACTGGCTGGTCGTGCCCTCGATGCACCTTGCGCAACCTGCCCGAAGCAGCAACGTGCGGTGTCTGCACGTATCGGCGGATCGGCCATGCGCCACCAAAGACGACAGCGACAAGCTCAATGGCGTCCTGGCTCGGTGTGGCCAAGCCGTCTCCACCTCCGGTCGCAGCGCCTGTCGCCCGACCACCGGCGGCCCGACCGCAGCCACCTCCCGTCGTCGTAACGCCCGTCCGACAAGGTTCCGCGATGCCATCGCACCAGCCAACCGCCTCTGCGGCGCCACTGCGACAGCCACCCTCCTTGCCCATGACGTCGGCTGTCCCTCGTCCGGCGCCTCGCCCGTCGCCGCCGCTGCGTCTCGTGGCCGAGCCGCTCTGCCTCCCAGAAGAAGACGTGGTCATGGGCGCAGCCATCGACCGTGACCTGGCGACGCACTGGATATACCCGAGCAACTACCCCGTGCGGACGTACCAGCAGACGATCACGCGCGCGGCCTTGTTCCAGAACACCCTCGTGTGTCTCCCGACCGGTCTCGGCAAGACGCTCATCGCCGCGGTCGTCATGTACAACTACTATCGATGGTTCCCGTCCGGCAAGATTGTGTTTATGGCGCCCACGAAGCCGCTCGTGAGCCAGCAGATCGAGGCGTGCCATAGCGTGATGCCGATTCCGCATGACGACATGGCCGAGCTCCAGGGCAACGTCCCGCCGGCGCGTCGCAAGCAGCTCTGGTCGACGAAGCGCGTCTTCTTTTGCACGCCGCAGAGCATGCAGAACGACATTGAGCGCGGGAATTGCGACGTCTCGTCCTTCGTCTGCGTCGTCGTCGACGAAGCGCACCGCGCGACCGGCAACTATGCGTACACGGTGGTCGTCAAAGCGATCGCCGCAAAGCTCTCGGGCTTCCGCGTGCTCGCGCTCTCGGCCACGCCCGGCGCCAAGTTTGACGTGATCCAAGAAGTCATTTCGAATCTGCGCATCTCGCACATTGAGTGCAAGTCGGGCGACGACCCGGACGTCCGGTACTTTCTTTTTTGTTGGCGTTGAGATTGAGATTGAGATTGCACTTGTAGAAAATACACGCACTCGCGCCAAGAAGAAATCATCAAGTGTAAAATGACCGGCGAAGTGTCGAGCGTACGTTCGATATCCGATCTGAATCTGAATCTCAATGTATCCACTGCAGGTGCGCGTCCAGTTTCTCAAGCTCTTTCAGCCCATCTTGCATCGCTTGTGTACAAGTCAAGTACGTCATCCGCATCGAAATGCATATTGGACCAAGCACGTCCGTTCTAGTTGTTTCATATTCGCGACCCGGACAAGCTCACGCGGTGGGTCATCGTGTCGGCCCGGGACCGCATGCGGGCAGGACCGCAGCCGCCACGGTACCGAACGGCCGAGGTGGACTTTGCGCTCCTCGTACGTCGCCACGTTGCTGGCAAATTCGCTCCATTGCTCTCTTTACGAAGTTTGCGGCGTAGGCAAGTCTCTTGCATGGACGGGATGTGCTGACAACGCATGGAATCGGCAACTTCAAGACGTATTTAGATAGCTTTATGAGCGACCGCGTTCATGGGTATGTCCGGCTCCTCTGCGTCGTTCGCATTCCTGGACACAACTGTAGACCGAAGAAGACCCTCGTCGAGTCGGGAGAGTTTCGGACGCTGCGGACGCTCGTGGACGCGCAGGTGGGCGGGAGCAGCAACAACCCCAAACTGGCGCAGCTCCAGAAGGTGCTGCAAGAGCATTTTGCGCGGCATAGCGCCGGCGGCTCGAGCACCCGCGCGATCGTGTTTACGCAATACCGCGAGTCTGTGAACGAGATCGTGGCGCTGTTGACGCCGCTCGCACCGCTCATCAAGGTGCAGGCGTTTGTGGGCCAAGGTGCGGGCAAAGGCAAGGAGAAGGGCCAGACGCAAAAGCAGCAGCAGGCGATCGTCACAAAGTTTCGTGCCGGCGACTGCAACGTGCTGGCGGCCACGTGCATTGCAGAGGAGGGCCTCGACATTGGCGAAGTCGACCTCATCGTGTCGTTCGACTGCCTCACGTCGCCCGTCCGGTACGACGTCTTGTCGGATCTTAAGGCTCAGGACGGCGAGTAGAATGATCCAGCGCATGGGTCGCACGGGTCGGAAGCGCGTCGGTCGCGTCGTCCTGCTTGTGACCGAAGGCGACGAAGAGAAGAAGCTCGAGCGTAGCGTTGCGTCGGCCAAGGCCGTGAACCGATCGCTGACCATTTTCAAGGACAAGTTCAAATATGTCGCGGGCCCGCGCATGGTACACTCTCGAGTTGATACCTTGATAGATTTGAACCGAAACTAGATACCGCGGGGCATCCATCCGGTCATCACCGAGAGTCAAATGGTCGTGCCGACGTTCCAGGCGTCGCTGATTGGCGGGAAAAAGGCCAAGCGACCAACGCCGGTCGCAGACGACGACCTCTGGCGCCTGACCGAGAGTGAACAGCAAGCGATGGGGTTTCGCTTTGGTCTCAACGTCGCTGGTCGGCGGCCACCAAACGTGCTGACGCCAATGCGTCTCCACATCGCGTCGCGGCCGCACCACTTTGGCAAGTCGCAACGTGCGCGCTGCTACCTCCAGCTGCTGCATGGCATTGCTGGCGAGACGCTCACCGACATGGACTTTGACGTGCACCTCGACCGTGCGAGCGTCGCGCTCTCGCAGCCGCCACTGCTGTCGCTGACGCCAAGCTCGCCTCCGATGCCGCCAAGCGCGAGTCTACCGCCGCCGCCTTCGTTTGAGGATGCCGAGTACGACGACGCTCACGCACTCGACTACTCGATGGGCAGCCAGGATCACTTTCTCGCAAGCATCGACCACGCGACCCCAGATCATGGTCTCGACCACGCAAGTCCAGATCCTGGTCTAGATCAGACGATCCCCAATCCTGGTCTGGACGTCCCAAGCCCAGACACTGGCCTGAACCTCCCAAGCCGAGATGCTAGCCTGGACCACGCGAGCCGAAATACGGGTCAGGATATTGTCGACCTAGCGTCATCGGACGACGAAGGGCCTTCGTTTTCTCTGCTTCCGCCTGTCGCGACATCGCGGCCAACGCCACATACGCCACAGCCGCCAGTAGCAACTCCAACGGATGCCATCACGACCAGCGACGAAGGTGATGTACCGCGGCGTGCACTCATGTCCGAGTCGGTGGCGACTGTCAAGACGCCGGTCAAGGCAGCGAGTCGGTCGGCGGTGCTGGCAACATCACGGTCGTTGGAGACACGTCAACGCGACGACGACCCGCCCGTGTTTTCGTTGCTGCCAGCCAGCGATTCGGTCGCTTGTCCGAGTAGGCGCTCGTCTCAGCACGAATGTATCGTGATTTCATCCTCGTAGATGCTTCTGCGACGCTACTGACGCCGTCCAAGCCTCTCGGCGCGAGACAAAGTGTCGTTCAATCCAAGGGCATGCCATCTGCCTCAAGCGCGTTGAAGAAGCCCAAAAAAAAGCTGGTCATGCCAGCGTCCGACCCGGTACAGCCATCGCCCGCCAAGCGACCACGCGTCGACGCGCCGCCGTCGTCCACGCTACCACAACGTCCGTTGGATCCGACAGCCAGTGTACTACAGCAAGGTGCGCAGGTCATTGCGTGGCTCGAAGAGCTCTCGACGGCGGCCATGCAACATCCGCCAACGTCACCGACCGAGAGCCCGCGGGCGACACCGCACCTCTCACCGATTGGAGTTGTCGTGTCGACGCCACCGCGTCGGCTGCAGTCGTGTCCCCGTCTCTTGCCAACCAAAAACGAGGCAGTAGTGGACGCAAGCAGCGTCATTCCGAGTGCAGATGCGGTGCCACCGCCTCCAACGGTCGCGACGCCGTCCAAGCGCCCCGTCCAGCGCCGTATGGAACTCGCGTCGCCACTCGCGCGACAAACGCCGTCTTCAGCCCACAAGCACACGACACCGAGAACCAAACCGCCGCTGCACGTGGATCTGCGGTCGCCGCCGTTCGCAGCCGGCCCGAATGCGTTGTCTCCGATCACCGTGTTGACGCCGCCACCACCAAAACGACAACCGAAACCTGCAACGAGCCAAGGGCTGCCAGAGGACTGCCAAGTGTGCGGCGAGTCGTACTCGTTCGAGACCGACCCGCTTTTGTACTGTGATGGCTGCAACGTTGGCGTGCACCAGCAGTGCTACGGCGTCCAATCGATCCCAGCGGACGCTTGGTTTTGCGACTTTTGCCGTCTCGCCAAGACGACGATTGCCAAATGCGCACTCTGCCCGGTCCAGGGCGGCGCGCTCATGTCGACGCAGTGCGGGGCATGGGTGCACGTCCAGTGCTTTCTCTGGTACGCATCATGACCAATCTCGCGAGCTTCTTACTCGACACATGGGCGTAGGATCCCCGAGCTGCGCGTCGTAGCAGCCAACGACACTGCGTTTCGCCTTGGGTCACTCGAGACTTTGGTAGACAATGTCGAGCTGGGCGATTTCGTACATTCTTGGCGTAGGACCCGGAGCGGTTCACGCTGCAGTGCGAAGTGTGCAAGACGAGCAACGGCGTTGGCATCATCCAGTGCGCAGAACGCAAGTGCCTCGCGTCGTTCCACGTCTCTTGTGCGTACCATGCTCACTACGCCCCCGGCCAAGTACTGACATAAACTTCGTTTGATGGCAAGGGAATACTGTATGGTGTAGATACAAGTGGGTGATGACACGCGCTTTGTCATGTACTGTCCGTCGCATGCGTCGCTGCTGCGCGCTGCTGCGTCACCGTCGGCGATTTTCGCAACACCCGACGACGACGAGAGAGCCCACAAGAAGAGTCGGAAGCGCCTCAAGCAAGGCTCGTCGTCGCGTCAAGCGTCAAAGAAGCCAAAGCGCACCAAGCGACTGCGCGCCAGCAAGCATCTCATGGCGCAGTTTGTCGAGGCCGACGTTGGGGTCGATGGCGAGGTACGACGGCGTGCGTTTGATGGAACAGGTCGTCACCGCATGCGCTAGGTGTCATCCGATGACGACGAGGACGCGCTGGATGTGGGGCTCCCGCTGGATGACAGCTTCATTTGCGACGACGTGTCGAGTCAGGCGCTGTCACCGGCTTCCATGCAAGCGATCTACCGCCGCCGGTCGGTCTCGCCGGGCCTCGGGCGGCACTTTAGCGAAAATGGAGTGATTGCGTCGCTGCTTCGCCGCGAGTCGCCCGCTAGTCTCGGTGACGAGGACAGTGTCGTCGACGACGACGATGGCACGCTGCACCATGGGTATCGATGCGACGGGTGCGACCTCAACCCGATTCAAGGGGTCCGCTACTCGTGCTCGGACTGCACCGGCTACGACCTCTGCACGTGCTGCTATAGTACGCGCACGCAGCTGCACAACCCGCGCCATGGTTTTCTTGCGATACAAACGCCAGTGCCACCGACGCAAGCTGCGACGCACGCTGCGACGCAGGCCCCGATACCAGCGCCGCTGACGCCAGCCAGGAGACCCATCTCAGCAGAGGTCCGCACACCAGGCTCGACTCGGACTCGAGCAGCAACACCGTCGCCGGCACCAGTGCCAGTGCCAGTGCCAGTGACCAACGTAGCTGGTGGACTGACACCGGCGCAAATCGAACGCATGCAAGAGCGCAGGCGGGCAGCAATGGAGATCCAGCGCCAGCGACAACTGCAGCTTGGTGCGACGACGGTACTGCCACCGGCAGCTCTGACCGCGCCAGTAGTGGCACAAAAGCCGCTTGCAGCACCGGCCACGTCGTCGTTCGTGACCCCAATGCATCGATCCGAGCCGGTCGCGCGAGCCGGTCTCTTGCGATTGCCTCGCGTGCCAACAGCGGTTGCATCACCGGCCTTTGCGATCCAGGACGATGCGTTTGAAGCTCCGTCGTTCAACTTGCTCGGTGCCGTCGCCACTGCGCCGCTTCTGCAGCCGCCCATGCCTGAAACAGCGGCGCCTTCATTCAACTTGCTGCCTCCACCGTCGGCGGGCGACGTCACCCATGCACCACCAGCAGTCGTTCCGGCGCCATCCTTCAATGTGTTGCCTCCATCGGCACCTTTGGCTGCACAGTCGGTCCCCTCCGTCTCGACCTCAGTAGATGCACCGTCCTTCAGTTTGATACCAGCCATGGAGACTGCACCGTCCGTTCGCTTGTCGCCCGAGGCACCGTCCGTCGCGTTCCTGTACCACCCGCGGCTCAAGCGCACGGCGTTTGCGACGTCGTGGCAGCCACCGAGCGTCGTGGCGCTCGAGGAAAGCCGGTTGGACTGTGATCTTCTTCTGAGCACGCGTCTCGGGGTCAATATCTACGCGTACGAGCAACTTGTCCGGCTGTTGCACGCGTCGACAGCGTCACCGTGGACGACGCTCGCCGCTGTTTTTGCCAAAGTGGTGTTTGTAGTGCTCAACGCCCCGGTATAGCGTGTTTCACGCAGAGGAGTAGAGGCGCAATATCAACAACATGCGGTAGGCGCGCGCGGTGGCCGACGTCCAAGCACAAGTGGCCCGTCGGCATCCGAATGTTCGTATCGAAGCCAAGACCCCGGACAGCGTCGTGTCCTGGCTTCACGACACGGCGCGGTATTCCATGCCCACGTATGCACGGTCGTGCTGACGCGATTGTAGGCGCGAAGCGGCGGATGGCGCGGCGCTCGTCATGCTGCTGCAGGGGCACCCGCGTGACATTCACTTTGTTGCGCGCTGGCAGTTCTTTGCGGGCTTGGGGCTCAGTACCGGGACGCAGCTCGTGCTTACGACCAAGTTTATGGGGCAGAGCGTCGAGCACGTGCGTTGTCTCAAGTTCAACTGGATGCACTGGAAGCGCATGCTGCCATGGACCTCGGACGCGACGGCCCAAACAATCTTTGCGTTTGTCAAGCTGCCAAATCGAGTCTAACCCTAGCCCCACTTACAAGTCTAGTCCCCACTTACAAGTCGTGAATGATCGACACGGCTTTCGCAAGCGTCTCGTCGTCCTTGCAGAACGCGATGCGCACGAGCGCCGGCGACGGCTGGTTGGCCACCGACGTGTAGAACGGCGACGTGGGAATGACCGTGAGCCCGTGCTCGATGCAGAGCTTTTGGGCCACTTGGTAGTCGGGGCGCATCTACAGCCATGGTCTCGATTCTGGTGCTGAGAAGTGAGGCGGCTACCTCGTTCTCGAGGTCGTCGCGGCCTTCGAACGTAGCAAACTCCTCGTACGCGTCGAGCGACGCGACGTTGCACGTCACAAAGTAGCCGCCGTCGGGGACGATCGGCTTGAGGTTGGCGGCTTGCAGCGCGTCGACGATGACGTCGCGCTTGGCCTAGTCAAGTGGCTATCAGAAAGGAGTTTGCGATGGGGTGGACCTCGAGAATACGCGGGAGCTCGTCGAGGTACCCGTTGTCACGGGCGACTTCAAACCCCTTGGCGACCGCAAGCTCGAACGGGAGGGCACCGCAGAAGGGCACGGCGCTGTGCGTCTTGGCGACGGGCAGCGCGAGCTTGGGCGGCAGGATCGCGTACCTACATGATTCGATTGGACGGCGAAGGGCCAACGGATGTACTCGTACCCGACGCGCCAGCCCGTGCAGGAAAAGGTCTTGCCGGCACTGAAGAGCGAGATGACGCGGTCGTACATGCCGTCGAAGGTCGCAATGCGCTCGTGGGGCGTGCCCTCAAAGCACATGAACTCGTAGACTTCGTCCGACAAGATGATGATCTAGACCAGTGGTCAGGCGACGGCAGTATTTGGCAACGAGCAACGTACGTCGGGGTGCCGGCGCATAATGTCGGCGATGCCTTCGAGCTCGGTACGGCTAAAGACCTTGCCGGTCGGGTTGTGCGGCGTGTTGAGCACGAGCATCTTGGTCTTGGGCGTGATCGACGCCTCGAGTTTGGCAAGGTCCAAGACGAGGTCCTTGGAGCTGAACGTGTCCTTGCACGACGGGTCGTTGTACTTGGCTTTTTTCGCAGCGTTCATCTCGAGCGGCAGCCCCACGGTTGTGATGCCAAGCAGCTTGGCAATGTTGATGTACGCATCAAAGTACGGCTCGAGGATGAGCACCTCGTCGCCGGCCGAGAGAAGCGAGAGAAAGATGCAGAAGATCCCTTCCTGCGCGCCCGTGAATGTCACGATCTCCGTGAGCGGGTTGAGCTGGCGGCCATACAGCGGCGAGTAGACGTCGGCGAGCACGTTCACAAGGCCCGGGTTGCCGCCCGGCCGCGTGTACTGGTTGTGCTCACCGGCAATGGCCTCGGTCGCGGCCTCCTTGAGAAAGCTACAGCGCGTGAAGAGGAGGCCATGGCATGAGGATGGACACATACGCTGGCGTGCCAAAGGAAGGGAAGCCCTGGCCGAGGTTGAGCGAGCCGTGCTTCGCCGCGAGCGCCGAGAACTCGGCAAAGACGTTCTTCCCAATGTTGTTGGCGACCGACGTCTCGGCGGCGCTCGAGAGCGCGCGGGCGCAGGTCCGCAGCAGCGGCGTCGGCTTGGTGGCACGGAGCATGACGATGATGCACGAAGATTGATGCGACCTTTCTGGGGCTCGCAACAAGCAATCGGGCCGATTTATTTTATTATCTTGGTTTTTGTAAGCGTCCCGACACATGTTTAAAAATGTACACTTATATATAGGTTTTGGTAGCTATTTTTAAATTGTGGTATTTTATTTTTATGATGGGGATAAGATCGGCCTCGTCAACTTCAAGCGTGTCATTTGGATGGGGCCACGGGCCATGTATGCTAGCATGTTGTATACACATTGCAAGATAAATTACCTGGGTTTCAGTCAAATACGGGGGTAGCTTGGTGGGCCTTGAAGAAAGCGTGAGGCCCCATTGCACACCTCCAGCACCGCCTTCGAGCTCCACGCTTCAGCGTCTGCACCAACCCTGCTGGATGCCGACAAGAGGCTCTTCTTGTCGTCATAAATAGTTGTTTACTAGATAGATACTAGGCATAAATAGAGCTAAGCGAAGCTTCAGTCGCCTCGCCAGTTGACAAGGAACGCGCGGTCTTCGTGAATGCGTTCGTAGATGATGAGCCGGCGGCGGTTCTGCTTGGCGTGGAGGCGCGTGAATGGCACCTTCTTTCCGCCAACGTACGTCGTCTGGCTGTAGTAGTACGTGATTGGGATCTTCACGGGCACGGGTGTCTTCTCCACCACTACGGGCTCGTCGTCAAAGTGTGTTGCCAAGTTGCTCTGGGGAGTCGACGCGGGCGTCGATGCGGGTGTCTCCACCGAGGTGGCTTCGTTGTCGTCGTGCAGTTTTGCGCTGTTTTGCTTGCGGCGGAGGCCAAAGAGCGCGCGGAACGAGAACGACTTCTTCGTCACGTTGGTCATTGTACTGGGCTGTTGCAAAATGCAATCTGAGACTTTGGCAACAGGAAAAGACGGACAGAATTCGGTGTCCAGCGCCGCGGGTTCGAATGCACCCTGACGCATTAATTACGCACGTTCTTTTCTTCATACAAATAGCAAGCTTGAGCGTACGAAACCGGAATTATATGACAGTACCTCGTTTGGTTGTCGTTGGACGTGCACCTACGTTGATGTGTGCGACTGAAATGCATATTTGCGGTCGGCCGCATAGCTTTTAATCAGGTTGATTATGGTCGACACGATATCAAATACTTTTATTCATAGTGAGATGCATATTATTTCGTGTTTGTATCACTCAGTAGACCTGCCTGTCGCGAGATTGGTTGCAGCTTTCGCCGAGTGATGGTGCAGTGAGTGGCTGCGCTGAGGCAACAACCCAATCACATGCGTTCCGGTGAGGCTGGGACAGCGCGTCACGAGCCACACCGCCACCAATCAAGAAATATCTTGCGTGCAAGAACACCGTGCCAGGATCGACCTTGCCACGATGGCTGAGCAAGAGGTAGCAGCGCTTTTGAGGTACATTGTACTGTGCTTGGAGGCTAGCTCAGCGGCAACACGAGGAACTACTAGAAAGGAGCTTCCACCAGGTTACTATACAAGGGACGTGAAAACCAATGGCTGGTTCGCCACCGCGTCACGGCCTGCAACCGAGCACTACAACGTACAGGCGCCGCGACGATTGCGAGGACAGTTGTTGGATTGTGACTCGACAGATAACTTGTTTGTGCACGGCTATGAAGGAAAGCAGCACATACGACTGTACGTTGCGAGCGCTATGACAACAAGAGTAAGATGATGGGAAAACACTAGGAGCACGCGCGGAGTATAAAAATCGTCGAGTTTGAGGTTGGAGGAGCAACTGAGCATTTATGGAAACCCTGCTTTCAACGAGCTGCTTGGAAATGAACTGGCGACAATCACTTGAAACGTGCAGGCTCGGTGGTCGGTGACGTTGCTGCATGGCTCCTCGTGCTCTCGTGATGAGCTCACGCCAAGTCGGACATTGCGTGCGATGTTAGACGAGTGAATACACACTTGTTGTTGTCGAGTAACCGCTTTGAAGACTATCAAGAAGTTGAAGTAGCTCTAAACCATTCCCACGTCCACGTCATGGATTTTTTGTACTGGATGGAGTATGCTGCCATTGACACCCAACGTCACCGTGAATGAGGGTCGATTGTCAAGGACATGGGTACTAGTATGCGTGTCAATGATGCAGCAACCCGGTTCATTCATCCTGGGCAGCTACCCAATGAGCAGTTGCCAGTGCGAATGGATGAGATCTCGCTGCGCTCTCTCACTTAGCCTTCAGCCATTCTTTCCCTCGTCTCAACTCCAAAACGCTGAGCGCGGAAGACTTTGCACACATCGAAAGTATCAACCTCCTACTTGCTCACTCGCTCGCCGGGCCGAGGCTGCGGTGGTGTAGAGGCTCGTCTTGCTCAACGGTAATCTCTTGCGTGAGGCTCGAGATTCTTGGTTGATTTGGTCATACGCCTGGCCATAGTTTGCGTTACCGGGACGTGTAGTAAATCAAACACCGAAGATAACTGCGGCGCCAAGATTCACATGCGCATTCACCATGCAGCGGTCAGCCGACAGCCGGGCTGTGGCAGATTCGGCGAGTGCAACTGCGCAGCGAAACTTCGTGGTGCGTTAGATCAAATTTTGGGTGCAAGGGAAGGTACCCTTCAACCCTTGCGAGGTCGGGATGTTTTGTGGACACGATGTGCTCCAGCCTACGAAGCTCGGGACGCACGGACACTCGAGCGCATCCACATCCGACAAGAAATGCGGGAGCTGCCCTTGCATCGACTGGTCGGTGGACCCAACCTGACAAGGCTTCACATCCTCAGTTTCGCACCCTGCAAAAGTAGCTTGCGCGACCCTTGAGAGTGTCCACATTTCTCAAATATTGGATCGCGCGGAACCCAGGATCCAGAAGGCAATCAAGTCTTCAATGTGGCTTTCGTGCGAAAAACCACGTGAAAAACCCGGAGCTTCTCAAACTCAATGACCTCTTGAAGTTGATTCCATTGGCCTCCTCTCGTGGCAGTGTTCACTATGTGCGGCCTATCAGCATCATCAAAAGTGTGTATCGGTCTGTCGACGACTTGTTGGGACGCACGGGTCCTGCCATCGCACGAATCCTGTCAACTTGGATCCCCTCCTGTAAAACGACGCCTCCTCCTTTACACGTGTATCAACAGACTGCCGTGCGGACAGGCTGCGGTTGACTATGACCAACCGCCACACAGGAGGCTCAACGGCCCACGTTCGACGAACTAATGCCAGCCAGGTTGCAGTTGATGGGCGGAGATCGTTACTGCTCTGCATGTACACCACCATCTATCGCCATCATCACCATCACGACGACGTCGTCCAAGGTATCGCCTCAACGTAGCAAGGACCAAAGTCGCTGCACCGAGCCTTTTCATCCTCGCCCAACAACAACCGCGTGTATTTTGCACAAGCTCGTCGTTTGCGTAAAAACCTAATCCTCCTAGATCTAATATCGGCTACCCTCTACAGTATCTCGTCGTCGTCGTCGAATAAAAATAATTCAATTCAATACACTTGCCATAGACGTAACGAGCCATTTTTTTAATCCGGTGCTCGGAAAAGCACCCACCGGCCGTTTTTTTGTAGAGAATCCGCACTTGTAATGGGGTTGCCGTTGCATTGGTCATTTCCAAACTTTGATTTTTGAGCGCAAGACGACGATATGAAGATAATGGAGCACCGGGCGCCGTCGTTCAGCAACAACCAAGACGAGGACTCGTGCATGATGATGACATCGCCGACCAAGTCGACATCGCCCGTCAAGGCGACGACGTACAGCTTTAGCAGCGGCTCGTACGCGACCACTAGCTACGCCGACACGTACCTTCAGCGCTCGTCGAGCTACGCGCGCAAGGAGGTCAAGTGGCAGCGCGCACCGGTCGCGATCCCGGACCAGTTCAAGACCCGTGACAAGTACTGCGTTGGCGGCAAGCGCATTCCGTTCACGCGCTTCAACATGATGGTCGCGCGCAACAAGAAACCGCTTGACGACCTCGACACTATTTATGAGTCGTGCTACTTTCTCGACTTCACGTACGACGCCATCATGGCCGAGGTGGCGCACGAAGAGCGCGTCGCGCTCTACCCGCTCCGCGCGCTCGCCATGACCTTTATTCAATAGCCGACGATCGAGAAGCCGGCCTGTACAGTACTCTAATTTAATTCCTTTCTCTGCGACGAAACAATCGCCGATGTCACATACAAGTAGCTTGAGCGACTTGGCTACTCGAGGTGGACGCAATGACCGAGCACCGCCAGCGATTTACTGTGAGAACCGCTCGCTGCCTCACCGAGCAGAGGGCGGGCCGCGCAGCCGCATCCTGCGTGACGTCGTCGACACACCAATGGCGAAACCACGTGTAATCCTCGTCTCGACTCAGACGCGGTGTGCGGCGTGTAACGATCCACACTGCCACAATTCACAGGAAAAGCAGGTTTGCAGGTTTCTGGTGACGACAAAGCAAGTCCCAAAGCCGCACGAATAGAGACCAGAATTCCCTTCTTAGCCAAGGGTTGATCGTGCTGGGTGCAGAGTCCGCCTCGTTCACGTGCAACTACCACACGCGCTACACATTGCACGCCTGTCGGGGTACTCATACACTGTCTATCGATCGACATGTACTGTAAACGCAGAGGCTATACAGTGTATATTCTGGTCTTGGGTATTCTTCGTTGGTGACCCAGATCTCACCCAGAGGTCCCTCCACTGCACACGCGCATCACAGCAAATCGCAGCCGTGCAAACTCGTGCGCTGCGACGACGCCGGAACAGCATCTCGCGTGATCGTCGTGCAATTGCGCAGTGGTCCCATGGACGCGCGTCGAGCGATGTCGCATAGTGTCCTACGCGATTTGCCACTGTGGATTGGGGATTTGCCACCGTGCAAAACCACCCACGCGCTCCTCACACCCCGCAGTATATGTGTTGTGAGAGAGATAGAAATGTGCAGTTTGGCTTGGCCAAAAATGACGTAAGCGCAACTATTATTTGCAGTGTTTTCATCTGTCCTGTTCCTTGCGAACAAGCTGGCTTGCCTTCTAGAGGACTGATGTACAAGCCGCATGTCGTCGGGGTGGGTAGTTTGTTTAAACGCATGCGTTATTTCCACACTTGGTTGGACTGGTGTAGCGGTTTCACATAAATAGACTCACTTCCACAGCAACACTGTTTCGTGCGTTGGGGAAATACTGTCATCAGGTATGTGTTTAAAACACATAACACTATTAAAGGCATATCGACTTTGCCCCAATCATGTCATATGTATTAAATGGTGTGCGACAGAGAGTTTTCCATATTGCAGCGACCACAGGATGAGCCGCCACTCCAAGAACTCGACGGCAACGCACCACTTTACGTACCGCGAGAAGCAGGCCGCGGGCCATGGCACGCTCAAGCGCCGCTTCGGGAAGGACGCGCAGCTCGCGTTCGGCAGCTGCTGCCTCTGCCTCAAGCCGATCCTGGACAAGATGGAGCCGCTCGCGAGTCCTTGCGGCTTCCTCTTCTGCAAGGGCTGCATTTACGCCAACCTTCTGGCACAAAAGAAACAGATCAAGCTCAACGTGGAGGCCTTCAAGGCGCAGGAAGAAGGTCGCGCGGCGAAAGACGAGGCGACCAAGCACGAGGCCGAGCGCACGCAGCTCGAAGCTAAAATGAGCGGCACGACCGCCGTGCCCTTCAAGAAGAGCGCTGCAGAGCGCGCTGCGTTGCAGATCATGTCGAAAGTCGACCTCGAGACACTCGAAGAAAAGAGCCATGAGCTCAAGCGCACGTCGTTCTGGGTGCCGGGCTTCACGCCAACGGCCGAAGTGACGATGGACAAACCCGACGAGCTCACGCGGGACCCGATGAGCAACAAGCCGCTGAAGCTCAAGCACCTCATGCCCGTGCAGCTCAAGCGCTCCGAGAACGAAACCAAGGGCGAAAGCGTCGTTCTCTGTGCCGTACGACCCTTGCGACGCCATCTCGCGACTCTCACCGGCTATGTAGGTCAGCAACAAGGCGATCACGCATCAAATGGCCGTGCTCCTTCGACCGTCGGGCCAAGTGATCATGGAGTCGTGCCTCAAAGAGATGGTGACGCCATCGATGACATGCCCCATCACGGGCCTCAAGCTCCGAACCAAAGACATTGTACATCTCCAGGCCGGTGGCACGAGCTACAGCGCTCACAGCCAAGTCGAAGCCAAAAAGTACCGACCGAGCATGACTTAATAAGAAACTCTCTTCTTGTTTTTCGATACGACGACCATCGACCACCATCGCACGTCGTCTCTACTGCCGCAATCGAGTTATCACGACTACACTACACGAACGACCGAGTGTCGGTCCCGTCGGAACGGTGTGTCCCCCTGCAGCGCGTTGAGCGGACCGTACTTGTCGCGCACGTTGTCTTGGACGAGCGCCGTGGGCATACCGCAGCGCAGCTGGGCGCGGATCACAGCGAGCTCCTCGTTCAACAGCGCTGGAACGTGGACGACCCATGCCGCCGACGTGACGCGTTCCGGTTGCTGCTGCACCCAAATAATCTGGGTCGGTGCCACGCCTACACCACGTGTCTCCGCTTGGGCAGCGTCGCGATTGACAGTACCTTGTGCCACGAGGCGCTCGACGCACGCTGCATCCCCGTGCTCGAGTGCGACAATGAAGACGCCGGCCGTCTCGACTACCTCGCTCGATACGACGGCAGTTGCAACAATGTCTTCTTGCAGCAGCCCTTGCGTGAGCGCGGCGCCATCAGCATACACGTAGACATTGCTTGTCGGCGTGGCTTGCGCGCGGCCGACAAAGCCCGCTACGGTGTGCGCCACCACCGACGACGTGTTGACAACCACGTCGCACGACGGGTGCCCCAGCAGAGGCGGGATCGCCCACGGCGATGCGAGCGCGACAACAGTCGCATCCAAGTGCCGCGCGAGCGCTATTCCACGATAAGATCGGATATGTACTGGTGTGCGATCTGGGAATACCGTCGGGACCGCGGAAGGGGCGCACGAGGCCGCGCATGGCGTGCACGGCCATGTCAGCCTGCGCAGAGTCCGCAAAGGGCGCCGAAAGGTCGACTTCTAGCAACAAGAGATCGTCGCGAAGCGGGGCTTCGTGCTGCAGACACCACTACGTAGAGAGGCGCCACGCATGAGATCGGGTTCGATGCGTTGACAAGAGGCACCTCGTGCATTTGGATATGGACGTCTTCACGGGACACCGCGTTCCATGCAATCGGCAGCACCCTCGTCGTACTGCTGCTTGCATCGTCTGGCTGTAAAAAGGCGCTTGAGAGTCGCGACGCATCGGGGCTCAGCCGCACGACGCGGTCGAATGGCGCGCGGGTCGCCTCACGGCGTGGCATAGCGGGCGTCTGCAGTCGCAAGAGCTGGTGCAAAAGGCCGTAGCTTGCAATGAGATACCGCATAGCACGGAGGCTTTCGGAGAGCAAGCTCGTGTCGTTCAAGGCGACCGAGGGCAGGCGCGCGGCGTGGCACAGCAGCGGCGACTCGACTGTTCGCCACACAAAGCTATGCAGCACGTTGTGCGTTGCAAAGCGCAGCGCATAGCGCAATGGCACGGGCTTCTTGCAGAGTACGCACGCTTCGCCAAAGCCGAGCAAGGCCACCGCACTGAGCGTCGCCACGACGCCGCGGCCTACGTCCTCCGCGGCCGACGCCATCCTTCGTCACGGTTGTGTCAACGACCAAGCCTGCGCGGATGCATCCGGATAATCCAGGTTTAGCCGGATAAGAATGGTATATCCGGATAAGTGCTGTGTATCTTTGCAATCGTCCGCCTGTCTTTGCCTCGCTCGGTCACACACGAAGACTCAAACCCGAGGAGTCCATGCAGGGAGAGGACCTGCGATAGCACCGTCGGTGGTGCTCGGCCTTGCTCCTGATTCACGGCGGTGGCTACTGATATGCCAGGCCCATCCCGTGTCTTTTTCGGTCGTGGCGCCGGCGTAGCACAGGCTTTCTGCGGTCAATTGCTTGAGCAACCACTTGACGCAGCGTCACCGACACAGATGCAGACGTACACCATTGCGGAAACCACGCACGCTTGTGCTGCGATCAGTGCTAACTTGTTGTCGGCTTGAACGTCTCTTTCGGCGGTTGCAGGCAGCAGACAGGGCGAGCAGGTCGTTCGCTCCTGCACGCAAACCCACCGGACCACATATCCATATGCATTGTTGTCGGCTTGATGGGTATGCAGCCAATGGTACAATGGCAACTACACTCTAGTACTCGTCGTACAGAGTCTTGCGGAATCGTGCGGAACCGTGGCACACCACACTTGTCTTGACGCACCGTGGGATGAGAAGCAATCGCGCGCCAAGCGCGTGACAGACAGCGTCGTAGCCTGGTTCGACACCGTGGTAGTATCCCGCTGCGGAGGTCGACGCGATTGCTCGCCCCGTCTATGATAGCTCCGCTACCGTCCCCGTGAAAGACAAAGACATCCCGAGTTCTCACTGGGACGCGTTCGTGTCGACGTGGTAGCCACGTACGATGTGGTCGGCGCGCCAAGCTAGCACCGGCCGTGAAGGCGCACTTGTGTGTTTGCGCGGAATCGGGCATTGGGTGACGGCCCGATGGGAGCTCCACGGGCGTGTAAGGACGGGAGACATTGGGGTTGACGCGAGCTGAGTTTCTTCGAGTTCACCGTGCACCGCAGCGCGGGACGGTTCAACTGGACGGTTCGTTTTCGAAAGAAGCGCACGCACAGACGCCGAATCTGAGATCCGCGCCACAGCTGAACCGCAACCATTCGGTTGCTTGGCCAACGAGTCGGTGCGCCGTCGGATCCAAGGTCGCCGTCGGATGCGTGCGTCATGGCCCATCACCCTGCACGCTGCACGGTGGTGCCTCGGTACCCAACGCCTTGCGTTGGATGCAGCTGCAATACGACCTTATAGTACCAGTGCTCGGCCCACGTGGCACTGGCACCTGGTCGCGCAGGAGCGAGTGGGATGCCCAGATCCACTTTGGCACGTGCGACAGTCCATTCTGGGATTCGGCCGATCGAGATAATACGATGGCGACGTACCCGCGCATGGCCTTCTCGCCCGAGGCGTACGCCAAGCACATGGCCAATCTCGATTCCGTCCTGCAGCAAGCGCTCTCGGATCATATCGCGTGGCATGAACCGACAATCGTGCTCGACAGCTCGTGGGCGCGGCCGCTCGACAAGAACGGATGGCGCATCTTTGCGCAAACCAGTAGCAGCGCGGCCAAGGCGACGTATGTGTGCACGGGCCGCCTCCACACGAACCTCGATGCGCTTCGCGCGGCCATCTACAACGAGCGAACACCGGCCTATCGGTCCAACTGCGCGGTACTCTACGAAGGCGCGCTCGTCGACGCCGCCGTCCTCAACGTCTCGCAGCGCCGGTCGCCTACCGACGCGGGCCATTTTCTCGGCGTCAAAGTGCTCAAGCTCGCGATTAGCCCGGTGGTCGGCGACCTCGACACGACCCAGCACGACTTTGTCTTTGTCGAAGTGATACTTGATCCGTCGCAGGAAGCGCAGTAACTCATGTAAGCTCATTGGTGCGTAGTACGCAGGGACACGCCGGGACCGGCATGGCCGGGAAACGTACTTTGTCATCTCCGAGCCAATGACCGACCCGACCAAGCCCAAGGGCGCGTCCTCGAGCAAGGAGTCGCTGGCGACCGTCAAGCTTTACCGCACAGCGGACGACGGCAGCGTCGCTGTGACGGTCCGCGCAGTCATTCGGTTTGCGCCCAAGGCCAAGAAGCAACAGGCGTCGACGATGGTGCTCTGGAAAGACATGGGCGTGTACCTCCCGCGGAGCCTCACCAAGGACTTTCTCTCTGTGACGCGCGAAGCGTTTGCGTACCAAGCGCTGCTCTTGACGACCGGAAGCTTTGCGCCAACGCTCTCAAAGAACACGTACGTTGGTATCCTCGCCGGAAGCACAGAAGTAATCGTGGACGGCGTAGCAAAATGTGCTCGGTCTGCACGAAGAGCAGCAGCCTCCTTCGGCGCCATGGCCACTGCCAGCGCTGCGGCCACGCCATGTGCAGCGCGTGCACGGTCAAGCTCTACTGCGTCGACCGACCGTCGCGGAAGCTCTCGGACAAGCTCATGGTCCAAGAAAAGTTTTGCAAGCAGTGCTTTGTCGAAGCCAAGACCTTGCGCTGTGAGCCGATATGACAGCAGTGGGATCGAACTGACCTTCCTACTGCATAGTGCGGAGCGACTACAACACGGACGACGTCGCGTCCGTGCACAGCAGCAACGGCTCGGTCATCTACATTGACGACCCGATGCACGCGTCGTACCACGAAGGTACATATCGCTCTGCTGTCGCAACGTGTGCTCATGCCGGCGGTAGGCCAAGTGAGCCGGTCCGGGTCCGTCGTCAACTCGGTGGTTGGCTCGACGTGCAGCTCGCACGACGATACGTACAGCTCCTCGTCTATGGGCTCGGTGGCGCGGAAGGGCAGCGTGGCGAGCTCGGCCACGACGTGGACGTCGTCGGTGAAGGACGAAGCGCTGCCACGCAAAGTGAGCGCGGCTGATGCCCGCGCAAGCGCCCGACAAGGCGGCCGACCAGCGCGGCGCGGAAGCCTCGAAAGTCAATCGATCGCAACGACTAGCAGCTCGTGGTCGTCGCTGACGAAGGAAGAGATGGCGCTGCGCATCGACGAGATGCACGAGTCGATCGCGCACCAGACGTACCTCATTACGTCCATGAACGAGATGCTCGTCCAGCCTCGTCCGGCGCGCGGGTACGGCGCCAGCGGCGGCAATCCGTACGTGTACCATGACCATCCCACGGCCGCCCCGCTCGGCTACCACGACCTTCCACCGGCCGGCTACGGCGAGATTCCGCGCCCGCCGCCGCCAAGATATCAAAATTATAATAAATATTGAGCGCCGTGGAATTATATTATTTTGGGCTTTTCGGACTTGTCCTGGTTTCCGCCATCTCGTGGATCGCGATGGCACCGAGCAGCAGCGAGCGCTTGACGGACGCCGTGCGGGCGCTTCTTCCGCCGGCGTTCGAGGTCGATGCGATCCAGAAGATGGAACGCACAGAGGACCGAAGGCTGCTCATGGCAGCGCTTCTCCACGACGTGGTCGCGATCACGGCCACGCCCAGCGCTGAGGCCACGCTGCGCAACGTCGTCCGCAGCACGCCGCCAAGCAAGACTAGTACGACGCCGGATGCGCTCAAGGACCGCGGCAATGCTGCCTTTAAAGCCAAACACTTCAAGGAGGCCATTGCAGCGTTCTCGGAGGGCTTGCGGCTACTGACGATCGACGACGAGCCGACGGCGCAGCTCCAGAGCATTCTGTACGTAGTCTACCTCGACGCTTGGCCGCGATTGACCGTAGCATCCGATAGGTTTACCAACCGATGCGCCGCATGGCACGCACTCGGAGCGCTCGAACACGCGTTTGCCGATGCGACGCGCGCGATCACGAGCTATCCGCCGTACCCAAAAGCGTGGTTCCGTCGCGCCAAGGTCCTCGAGGCGTGCGTCGCAACCGATTCCACTCTCGCCGCCACGCTCTGCGCCAGCCTCCGTCCCGAGGTTGAGCCATTGAACATCGCGCGAGACGATCTCGCCATGGCCAAGGCGCTCGTCGAGACGCCGCGAGCCGTCGATCCCTTCAAGGCCGCGGTTGTTGTCTTGCCGCCGCCCCTCGCCGAGACCATCTATTCGCACCCAGCCTACCACAAACACGTCCGCGTCGCCACATCCGAGCTCGCCGGCCGGTACCTCGAGGCCACGCAACCGATCCCAGCGGGCACAGTCGTGCTCGTCGAAGACCCTGTCGCGTCGGCGGGCCTCGACCCCGTAACGCGCTGTGAGAGATGCTTTGCAGTCTGCGCGAACCTCGTGCCGTGCGATGCGTGCGCGTGCGCTGTCTACTGCAGCGACGTCTGTCGCGCGGCTGCGACCACCTGGCACGACGCGCTTTGCTCGATGCACCTGGACTGTCCGTCGCGGCTGCTGCTGCGCGTCGCCATGCAGTTTCGCGTCGAGTCCGCCGTTAGCATCAGTGATGATGTGCGGCCGTGGCGTCGCGACGATGTCTACGAGCTCAAGCGGCTGCTCCATTGCGCGCCGCTTCCAGGAGATATCGCCCGCACGGTCCCGGATCTCGTCATAGCACTACCGACGTGGACGGTCGACGGCTCTGCTTTCGCATTGTGCAACAGTGGACGCGTGGCCGGCTACGCCTTTGTGTCGCACTTGGCGACCGAGTGTCTCGTCCATCTCTACTGCGACGAGGCGTGCTTGCAAGTACCGTCGACATGGCTCCAAGGCGTCGTCTCTCGGGTCGCGCCCGAGCAGCATGTGAGAGTGCGCTCGACCAGCCGCGTGCTTCTTAGCGCGCTCCAGTCCGAGACCGACACGTGGACAAGGGTTACGCCGAACGAGTTCCGCTTCATGGGCCACCGGCATGACGAGCTGTTGACGCTCCACGACGATGTCGAGATGGTCGCGCCATCCACGCTCGTGGCGCGCGTCCTCTACGCGGCCGCCCTCGCGTCAAGTCGAAACCAAGTCAGTGCGTCGACAACCGAAGAGATGGCGCGTCGCCTTCTTGCCGCCGCGAGTCGCGTCTCGATCAACCAAGTCGCGATCACGACAACGGCATCTGCCATTGCGCAGGGTGGCGTCGACGTGGTGGGCCAGGCCCGGCTCGGCACCGGGCTCTTTCCCGCCATGGCCATGTGCAACCACTCGTGCGCCCCGAATGCGAGCGTGCACTTTGATGGGCGCACGCTTCGACTCGTGACAACGCGGGCCGTGGCCCAAGGCGACGGCATCGCCATCTCGTACGGCCCACACCGCGCCAAGATGCCCACGGCGGAGCGGCAGCGAATGCTCCAAGAACAGTACGGGTTCGATTGTGCCTGTGCTGCCTGCCAAGCACCGGTCTCAACCGAGAGAGATGAAGGAATCGGTCGCTTCCTCGCAGCGACCAAGCGCGCGGCCGATGCGATTCATGAGAGGCTTGCGCGTGGCGATGACACGGCGGCGGTAGGTCGTGTCATGCACCACGTTGCCTCATCCTTGGCGTAGCTGCACACCGCAGTCGATGCACTTGTCGCCAGCCGCGTCACGGCACTGCCGCCCAACCACCTCGCGATCGCCGAGGCTTTGGACCTGCGCGCGCAGCTGTGGGCGGTGCAGGGCGACTTTGCTGCCGCGTCGGACGCGTGCGTGCAAGCGATTGCGTTGCTCGAGGCGCACTACGACCCTCTCGACGCAGAGCTCGGGCACGAGTACTTGAAGGCGGCACAGGTACATTTCGCATCTGAGTTGAATCTGTCGTTCATCTCTCTCCGTGCAACTAGCTGCTCTTCAACGCCGAGCGCTGGCCGTCCTGCCGCGTGTACCTCGGTCGGGCCAAGAGGTCGCTGGCGCTCCACCTCCCCGCGACCGATGCACTTTTTCGAGAGATGGCCGAGATGCACGCCTACGTGGCCTCAAGGACATAGTGCGCATACGATTCCTTCTGGCGCTGCGCGACGGACGCCAAGAGCGTCTTGAGCTCGGACGCGGCGGTCAGCGCTTTGGTCGAGATGCTAACGTCGTTGGCCAGCGCGGCGGCTTCAAAGTACACGAGCCCCGCTTCGTAGTCGATCTGGCGCGGGCCCGAGACGTGCCATACGCCAAGGTAGTAGGTCGCGGGGGCGTAGCCAAGGCGCGAGGCCTGCACCCAAGATAAGCTAGATTCAGTGCTGCCGGCAACAAGATACCTTTTCAAACAGCTCGAACGCGCGGTCGTGGTCGAGCGCGACACCGCGCCCGTAGGCGTGCAGGAGCCCGAGATAGTAGAGCGCCTCGGGCACGTCCTAACCGTTGTCCTGCCATGCGTGCAAGGAAGTACGCGCTGTGCGTACGTGGGCGGCGGCGGTCGTGTAGAGCAAAGCTGCTTTGGTCCAGTTGCGCGGCAGCGACCGGCCGTACTCGTGCATGGTCCCTGGCTACCGATCATGTTGACGTAGCCAGAAGAGGCGAGTACCCAGATGAAAAGCACCGCGGGGATTGCCATGTTGCGTCGACGCCGCAAACAGCTAAGCGGGTCTGAGCACGGAATTCTTCTTCTTCGTGAGAGAGGACCTCGGCCGCGCGGGCCATGTCGATGGGGACGCCGCGTCCGTGGTTGAGGAGCCTACATGGCGGTGTAAGGTACAACAGAGGAAGCGAGATGCGGCGTACGTGCCGAGCAGCCACTGCGCGTCGGCGTGGCCGGCGGTCGCTGCGGGCTGGAGATAGGCGTACGCCAGTGCGTCGTCTTGCGGTACCACTACGCAGTCGTGTGTCGCATCGTCGATCGCCTTCCGGCTGCAATCCTCTGTATTGGGTGCGTACCGAGGCCGTCGTAATGGAGCATGCCAAGCGTAAAGGTCGCATCGAGATGGTGCTTGCGTGCGGCGAGGCGCATGTAGCGCAAGGCCGTGTGCATGTCCACTGGCACGCCATGGCCGTAGTAGTGCATGAGCCCCCAGAGGTAGAGCGAATCTACCATGCGAAGAAGACGCGGGGATGGGCGGTGTATCTTGTTGCTATTACCGGCTTTGTCTTGCTGGACGCCGGCGAGGATGTGGCGCCGAGCCTCATCGGCCATGGGCACTTTGGCATTTGCCACATCGAGCCCATAGCGCGGCCCCATCTCGACGCGCATCGTCCCACCGACTCCCAGCATGAGTCCGAGTACTTCAAGCAGCGCCAAGACGACGACGACGGTCGGGCGGAAGGGTCCCATCAAATCGTATCTTGCCAAGTCCGGGAAAAGCCCGGAGCGGCTGTTTGTCGCGCAGAAAAAAGCTCAGAAGCGGATTCAAAAGAGCATCGCCAGTAGACGCCCCATGGAAACGCAGTACCGCGCCCTCTTCCGCTGGCCGCAGCCCTGCACCAGCGTCCAGCTCGCGGGCTCCTTCAACAAGTACATGCTGCTACGAGGTAGAGGATGCTGCTGATCATGGGCTGCGTAGCTGGGGCGACAAGATGGACATGGAGAAGGGCGAGGACGGGACGTTCTCGGTCGTGCTCGAGCTGCCCGTGGGCCTCCACACGTTCAAGTACTTTGTCGACGACGTCTCGTGGAAGTACAACCCCGAGTCGGCGTTTGCCCCGGACGAGTTTGGGAACCTCAACAACTTTATCATGATTGTCGCGAAAGACGAGATCCAGGCGCCGCTCGAGACCATGATCCGCTCCGACGACGAGAGCAGCCTCCCGACGATGAACCCGGTCGCGTCCGTCGCGTCCAAGGCCGTGCGCCTACACCCGAGCTCGTCCAACTCGTCGTCGCCCGGCCTCCGCCCGCTCTCGCCCAAGCTCGTCGCGTCGCCGCTGCTCTTGACCAAGAAGAAGATGGTCGTTGGCGCCACGCCGCCGCTTGCGCGCAAGGTACGATAGCCCCTACTATGACGGTCGCTCGATAGCATGCTCATAGGCATCGACCACCGACGACTCGGAGTATGGCCTCAACGTCACGGACGAGACGTCGCGCGCGGCGCGGTCCGGCTCGATCACGCGCTCCAAGAGCGCCGAGTCGCTCCCGAAGCTCGACGAAGCCGAGATCATTGACCCGAAGAAGCTCTTTGCCGCGCCCAAGCTGCCCCAAGCGGTCGTCCGCGAGTACAGCACCAACAGCGTCCTCCTCGCCGCCCGTACCCAGGTACACCCTCTCACCTTTGCTCATCATGCATCATGCTGGACGCGATAGCATTTTGGCGGCGATCTCGTGACGCAAGAGCACCAAGAGCGCGAAAAGGTAGGGAATGCATGGACCTCCGTCGCTCAGTGAGCACTTGCAGATGGGCGGCCATCGCTCATTCATTGCGGCGCCGAGCGTGACGGTCGGGGCGATGGACCGGCGCCCGCAGCGCAACGGCAAGCTCATGATCGTCTTGGTCGGTCTTCCGGGCCGCGGCAAGACGTTCATTGGCCACATTCTGGCGCGCCACGTACGTTGAAGATTGCATCTGGTACAGCGAACCAGATCTCTAAAATCTGGTAGTTGACGTGGATGGGCCACACGACGCAAGTGTACAACACGAGCGAGTACCGCCGCGAGTACGTGGGTGCTGGCATCAAGCACGACTTTTGGAACCCGGAAAACACGGCCGACTACCAAAAACGCGCCGAGGTACGACCACATCTGGTGCGTACCAGATATCTGATTCGTACGCCTAGATTTCGAAAAAGTGCCTCAGCGACGCGCTCGATGCGCTCACGAGCGATGCGTGCACGTGTGTGGTGTTTGACGCGACGAACGCGACGCTCGAGGTTGGAATCTGGTACTGTGCACATTCGGGTCTGATCGACATCTAGCGCCGCCACTACATTCGCGAAGAAGTCGCGCGCCGGTCGCGCTGCGAGATGCTGTTTATCGAGTCGATCTGCGACGATCCAGATCTGATTGCGATCTCCATCAACGAGATCAAACTCAACTCGAAGGACTACGAAAAGAACACGCTCGAAGAAGTCATCGTCGACTACAACCAACGCATTGGACACTACCACTCGATCTACAAGCCGCTCGAAGACACGGAGGCGTGCTCGTTCATCAAGGTAGAGCAGCTTGCATGTTCTCTCGATGGACACCAGTCTCGCTAGGTCATTGACGTCGGCCGTCAAATGTTTTGCAACCAAGTCTACGGCTACCTCCAGTCGCGCATCATGTTTTTGATGGCGAATCTTCAGATCCGTCCGCGCCCGATCTGGCTCAGTCGCCACGGCCAGAGCATGTACAACACGCAGGGCAAGATTGGCGGCGACTCGCTTCTGAGTCCACACGGCGCCATGTACGCGCAGCAGCTCGACAAGTTTATCATTGCCAACTACCCGGAGGACACGCGGCTCAGCGTCTGGACGTCGACGATGGCGCGGACGGGCCAGACGGTCGAGCGCATCGCCGCACGCGGCCGCACGGTCGTCAAGTGGAAGCAGCTCGACGAGATTGACGCCGGTATCTGCGACGGACTTACGTACCCGCAGGTGGCCGAGCGCTACCCGGACGAGTACCTCGCGCGCAAGCAAAACAAGCTCCACTACCGGTACCCGCGCGGCGAGTCGTACCAAGATGTGATCCACCGCCTCGAGCCCGTCATTACGGAGCTCATGCGCCTGGACCGCCCGGTGCTGATCGTCGCCCACCAAGCCATTCTGCGCGTTTTGTATGCGTACTTGACCAACAAGTCGCCGGAAGAGTGCCCGACGATCGACATTCCGCTGCACGTCGTGATCCAGCTCACGCCCAAGGCCTACCGCTGCGAAGAGGTGTGGCACCACCCCATGTAATCGCGACGACTATGGTGTCCTCACGACACGATATATGAATACACAAGCGCTCTGTTGGACCTCGTTGGCGTCCTACTGGCTCAGCGCCGCTCGTCGCTGGATGCAGTAGATCTCGAGCACGTCGCCTTCGTCGCAAAGCGCTTTGGTTGTCTTGGGCACGCTGCGGTGTAGCGTGGCCGCAAGCGACGTGGCGTCTGGAAGAAACGCCAGGAACGAGTCGATGCCATCGCCGTGGCGACGCTCGACCGACATGAGCACGCGACACGCAGGGTTGGAGGCGCAGAGCACGTCCATCGAGAGGGCGAGCGCCCGCCACGACTGCCCGTACAGCGGCTCGTAAATGCAGTCGCAGCACAGGACAACGTCGAAAGCGCCGTACTTGGCACAAAAGGCTGTCGTCGCCGCCGTGCCCCAGCTCAAGACGGCGGCCTCGACGTTGGACGACGAAGCGGCAAAGTTGCGCCGGATGTTGGTGCGAAGCAGCGGCACAAGCTCGGGCTGCTCCGTGAGGACCACGTGCGGCGCGCCAAGGATGCCAGCGACCATGCCGGGAACGCCCCTAGTTGGCGAGGACTCTGAGGCGAGGAGAATGGGATATGGACGTACAAGCCGGCGCCGAGCTCGAGCACACGCAGATTGCGCACGTCGAGTTCGTTTAATACGTAGTTAGAGATGAGCTCGGCGGCTTCCCACACGAGCGTACCGGCCCACGCAGCGCCGCAAAAGAGCGGCGCGAGCTCGTGCTCGTCCTAGGAAGAAGCAGGATGAGGCTTGGGCTGGCGATGGCAGCGACTACCAGCAGCAGCGAGATGTCGAGGCGATGGCTCTCGTCGACGTCGATGACGATGCGCTCCTCGCAGACCTTGACGGCCTCATGGCGGATCGCAATCGACTTCATCGTCGGCCAATTAATCTGTGATTGGCCCGCGCCGACTCGAGCTACTGTGTGATTGGTGGATTTCAGATTGCCCTTTCTGGTCGCGCCAGATCCTGGATCGCTGTCGATCTGGTCGATGACGCAGACTGGATCGCTGTCGATCTGGTCGATGACGCAGACTGGATCGAGCAAGCCATTGCAGCGTCAAGCTCTCCAATATGCTCTCTTCTCGGGGACCACAAGGACATGGGCTGCATGCACGTCGTTGATGGGGCGCCGGTAATGTTAGCCCGTGAGGCCGACACATACCAGCAGTGAGAAATTATGTAGGGCAAATCTCTTGATCGCGATTCACCTGCGACTGCACGCAGTCCAGCCTTAACAAAGGCCCACCCTTTTTGCTTCCAACTAGGTATCGAGTTGATACTAGCTGCGCTCGATCTTGAATCCTACATGGCGAACGATACATTCGTGTACGTACGCTTTCATCGTACATTGGAATACTGAAACAAGGTTCGAGCGTACAATTGCTGTCGCATTGTACGTAGTACGATCTCAGATCTTATCGCAGGATTGATGGGAGCGAGGTGACAACTCGAGGACCAAGGTTGAGGAAGAATAGACAAGCAGCATGTTAGTTGATTACACCAAGTTGGATGACGTCGCGCGGTCACAGTGAAAGTCATCGGGCACCGTGTTGGGCTGGCGCGTCATGCACAGCACACGCTCCCACGTGCGGCCGACCGGGTCCATGCACCGCGGCGAGTTCTTGGTGACGGCCGTGATCGGGAAGAAGACGGTGCGGTTGGCGCTGAGGCCGACCGTGAAGCCCGTGTAGCCAGCCATCGAGCCGTGCACCGCGTTCTGGCCGAGGAGCATGCAGTAGAGCGAGTCGGCCGCGTTCGCGGGCACGGACCGAATCATGTACGACGGGTCAATGTACTTGACCGTCGCCGTGAGCCCGACCGTCTCAAAGTGCGCAATCAACGCCTTCTTCATAAACTCGCCGATCGGCGGCAGCTTCTTGTTGCCACCGGCGTCGACGACCGCAGACGTCCCGAGGAGCTCTTCACCCGCGCCTTCGGCCACGACGACGACCGCGTACCCCTTCTCCGCGACGACGCGCTCGACGTGCGTGAGGCAGCTCTTGGGCCCGTCGAGGACAATTGGGACTTCGGGAATGCAACACAGGTTGACGTCACCGCTGCTCAGGGTTGCGTGGGCCGCGATAAAGCCGGCCGAGCGACCCATGAGCTTGACGACGCCAATCCCGTTGGGCACGCAACGTGCTTCCACGACCGCGGACCGGATCGCGCGCTGGGCTTCCTCGACGGCCGTGTTGAAGCCAAAGCTGCGGTCGAGAAGGTCGACGTCGTTATCGATCGTCTTGGGGACACCGGCGACCGTGATGCGCAACTTGCGCTGCTGGCACTCTTCGGCGATGATGTTGGCGGCGCGGTGCGTGCCGTCGCCGCCAATGACGTACAGCTGGTTCACGCCGTGGGTCGTGAGGAACTCAATGATCTTTTCCTTGTCAAAGCCGCCGCGGTTCGAGCCGAGGATCGTGCCGCCCGAGTGGTGGATGGTCGAGACCACGTCGGGCGTGAGCATGAGCGGCGCGTCCTTGTCGCTGAGGTCCGTCCAGTTGTGGAAGCCGACAAAGCCCATGCGGATGCCAAAGATTTCGCGCACGCCGTACAAATTCCAGAGCGCGAGCGTGATGTCGCGGATGACGTTGTTGAGGCCGGGGCAGAGGCCGCCGCAGGTCACGATCGCAGCCTTGACCTCGCTCGGCTCAAAGTAGAGCGTCGGACGCGGGCCCGCGCGAAGGTACGCGCGCGAGATGGGCTGCTGGCGCGGATGGCGGCGAATGTCGCCAAGAATCACGTCGTCCTGGGACATAATGCGGTTGTACGTGGCCTTCCGGTCCGCGTAGTCGGTCTCCTCGAGCTTGTCTTGGGTGTCAATGTTGCGTTCATTGGCCGCAAACTTGTTGCCGTCCGGAATCCACGTCGAGAGGTGGGGCACGGGCAAGAGGTACGTCTCGCGCACGACGACGTCCTTCATGAAGCGCATCTCGCCAAAGCCCTTCGGGTGCTTGGCCAAGTACGGCGGCGCCACCTCCGTGACCTCGGGCAGGTCGGCGTGGGCCGACGCGGTCGGCGACGGCGGGAGGCTGCTCATGACGATGGCAGAAGGCAGGGATTTCGGAAATGACGCCGAGGGATACTCAAGTCCGAAAAACGAATGCACCCATGGCCTTTTTCACATCGAAATGTATTTTTCACGTGGGAAATACATTGGATACCCTCTGAATAACGACATGCGCTGGGGTAGACCGTGTGGTGCATCGCGCCAGCTTCTTCCGAGCATCAAAGGCGTGCAAGAGGACGACATCATAGTCGGTGGTTTATCATTGCATTAGGCATGCTGCGAGCGCACGTAAGTTCCCACTACATACGTAATCATCCTCCAAGCTCGTCACGGGCTCGAAGACATGCCGGGCTCGTTACAGTGGATCGTAGCACGGCGCTGCTGCCTTATTGTTGCCCCTCGTAGCTAGCTCCGCGCCGCTGCACGATCGCTAGACCAAGCAAGGATGCTTCGGCCGCCGTAGAAACGCACGGAAATCGCCCCTGTTTGTGTGCGCGGACACAAAGATACTCGAAGGGTCGACCCCGCAGTATTGCGGGAGGTCATTAAACCCAGGGATGCGTCGTCGGCCCTTGATTAACCTCAGAAATCCAGTGGCAACATACGATCTTCACGTGGGCAATCTATTTTTCACGTCTCGCAGTGCGTGCCACACCTTTTCTTTGCTCCGACCGTATCCGGTATCCGGATAAAAATCCCGAAAATTCCCTTGTCCCAGCGCGCGTTTTTGGATCCAACCTCCACATGGACAAGCCGATGCCCGTACATACTAGCGGCGGCGTATAGGAGCTTGCGGCGTCTGGTCGGTCAAAGACGCGGTAAGGAGACGCCAAGTCTGCCGTTGACAAGCCTTCGTCGGCAGTATAAATGGCGAAATTCGTGTTTACGTTAGCCATAAATTGGGTCCCTTTGGCGCGTGGGATTCGCCGCAGCCGCGCGACGAGCTTCGTTGGGTTCGTGCATGTCCACGGCCCCAAATGACTTGACCGGCGTCATGTATACTACTACACATATTGGATGGCTGGCGCTATGGAGGCTGGAATGGGGATGACCGAGGTCCGGATGACGAAGTGCAATGTCCGCGGCTACGTACCAGTGGGCGTTCGATAGAAGAGAGGGACGTTGAGAATGCAAGCACGGAGAGCTGGAAGCCTTGCTTGAAGGGTATTGTCAAGGGTAAACGACCGACGCATGCGACGTGAAGGAATCAGGAAGACCAAGATGGATGCGTGCGCAGCCCAGATGCACAAGTAGCTCGTCCTTCCTTTTGAGATTCGATCTGCTCTGCACTGGCGCGAAAGGTGGGTACAGTCACTCACAGTACTACACCACTGGCGTTGACGTGATGCGAACATGTCAGGCAGGCACGAGCGCGTTGAGATCGATCATCATATTCATGAGCTTGTTGATCGGCTAAAGGCCGCCGACGCTAGTATTGAAGGGATGAGTCGCGGGCGGCAGCTAGGCAACTGGGCGCGGCTGCTGAGCGCATGCATGGGCGCTGATGTATCCATCTCTAATCAAGATATGTATCTAGTATTTGGATCTTGGCGCTCATGACCGGAGGATAAATAAGTTCTCAATGAGATGGGTGGTGTTAAAAAACACCAGGTGAATGCAGTAGCAAGATGCTAGGGGACCGCCAATTTACGAGCGTTCGCCACGGATGCGGCGGGCGAGCTGGATGTCCTTGGGCATGATCGTGACACGCTTGGCGTGGATCGCGCACAAGTTGGTGTCTTCGAAGAGGCCGACAAGGTACGCCTCAGCGGCTTCCTGAAGGGCGAGGACAGCCGAGCCCTGGAAGCGCAAGTCCGTCTTGAAGTCCTGGGCGATCTCGCGGACGAGGCGCTGGAACGGGAGCTTGCGGATGAGGAGCTCCGTCGACTTCTGGTAGCGACGGATCTCACGGAGGGCGACCGTACCCGGGCGGTAACGGTGGGGCTTCTTGACGCCGCCGGTGGCGGGGGCGCTCTTGCGGGCGGCCTTCGTGGCGAGCTGCTTGCGCGGGGCCTTGCCACCGGTGGACTTGCGGGCGGTTTGCTTCGTGCGAGCCATGTTGTTGGATCAATCGATTTTTGAAAATGAAGGGCTGGGTGCCATCCATGCGCACATCGTGTCGTTTTGACAAAGTCCAATGGCGCGCCAGGAAAACATTCCGCCAATCAACATACCTTACCCTGTTACACGCTCTGTCATTGGGTGAGGCGTGGCGCGCACATAAAGTATTCCGCCAATCTGCAGCGTGTATTTTGATACAGCCAATGAAACACAAGCATGCGCGCCCGACGGCAAGGTATATTGTGTATGCTTTTGCACGACGAGAGTACTTGTGCTTCAACGACGTCATTTTCAATTTTCCAGTAAATCGACAAGAACAA